TTTTTTATAACTTTTTTTAATTATTTTTTTTTTGTTTTTTGTAACCGCAGTACTATTTCATGTTACCTAAGCTAATAAAGACATTGTCATTTATAAAATAAAAAATAAACTTAAAAATAAATGAAATTTTTTAATTTTATGTACACACATATATGATAATCAGATTAATTAGTGCTTAAAAGGGTCCAAAATCAACTGCTCAAACTCAACTCTACAGTTGAGTTTGAGGTGTACATTTAACTGCTTATTTTTATGTTAAAAGTTAAATGTCGCGAAGAGCAGAGAAACTATACAAACTATACAAACTATACAAAATACAAAGTAAGTAAAGTGAAATTTTCGTGTTTACTACTTTTTTAACAATAAAATGACACAAATAAGTAAGATTTTATCCTTACATAACCTATGTTAACAATTGCTTCAAGTGACACACAATACACCTCTTTGAAGTCATTGTCAAATAAAATAATTGCATTAGAAATTAATTAAAATGCATGTATCTATACAGCTTGTCCTTGGCTGGCTCTGAACTATGTTCTGAAATGCTTACATTGTCCAATGTCGATATTATATTAAGTTTTAAAATATCAAAATTTAATCAAATTATTTATAGGACTTGTGTGTGGTCAGTTCAGTTTGTATTTGTTGAGTTGTAATTGATTGAAAACAATTCTTAATCCACCCACCATCCATGTAAAATGTCATTCATCCATTCCGATTGTTCAGAAAGGACATTCTACAATTTGCAGTACATTTATTTGTATGTTTGCTTCAGTTATCTAAATATATACATATAGTTATAATATCTGCTTTATACAGTATAAATTAATGTCAATGAGTGCGTTTGCCATGCAATAACATTTGTTGAGTTGTTTGGAAATGTTCAATTTACAATTGTAAAAATGAATGTTATTTTTCTTAAATTATTAATTATCTTAACAATTTATTATTTATTAATTTTTGCACAATATAATAACAAAAAACATGCTGAGCAGAAGAAATACCATAGTCACGGTTATTGTATCCCGTATTCAATTCTACTCTTACGTTCTGGACAATATGTGTAACC